ATTTTTTTGAATTTGTGATATGTTATAGTACTTGTGCGGGATTCTTTGGGTGCGTTCCTTTTGGGCGCTTACACGCTATAAGCGCTCATCAGCGCTCACGCTTATAAGCGCTATTTTCAGCCGTTCCATTTGCTGCGTAAGCGCTTAGAATTGCTAACAAAAGTCGTTCCATTTGGATGCGTGAGCTAAAATGGAAAATGAAAAAGAGGTTATTGTGTGCTCGATAATTTCAATATTATTTGAAATATTTTTTGATGATGAAGATTTTTTATCTAATCTTAAAAAAAATGAATTAGAAACCATTATAATATTGCTTAGCAAATACATTAAATGTATTAAACATCCAATACGGCTGCAAAATTATGTGGAAAAGGTTATACCATCGTATACTGATGTGCAATTTCAATCACATTTCAGGTAAATGTAATATTTTTTTGTAAATATTTACACAAGTTAAATTTATTTTAGACAATAAGACAAAGTTATTATATATTTACAATATATTTACAATATACTTGAATAAAAAATAAATTATGTTTTATTTTATATTATATTGTTTCTTAAAATAATTTTTAAAATTTATAATTATATTACAATAGAATGAATCGTACAACATTTCATCATATCTTACATCTTATAAAACCTTCATTACTAAGATCAAAAGGTGGTCCTAAAACATTATCACCGGAAAAACAATTTCTTATTGCCATATGGAAAATGGCAACACCAGATTCGTATCGGTATGAGACTTGTTAAATTTTTAAAAAATTTTTAAACTGTACTGTTTTTCTTTTCAATTTTTAAATTATATTTTCTTAATTAATTATTTATGGATTAATTTAATTATTTATAGATCTATTAGTGAGAAATTTAATGTTGGAAGAAGTAGTGCATTAAGAGCTGTAAGAAGAGTGTCAAAAGCAATTGCCAAATTATCTCCTCTGTTTATTACTTGGCCACAAGGTAATAGAGCACAAGAAGTTATGATGGGATTTACTGTAGCTAGTGCTTTTCCCAGAATAATAGGAGCAATTGATGGCACTCATATTAATATAAGAGCACCACATGTTTCTCCTGAGTGTTATGTTAATCGGAAAGGGCATCATAGTATACAATTACAAGTAATTTAAATTCTAATATATCTTTAAACAGTTAAGTACTCTTACAGTTAAATAAGTAATTATAATTATTTATTATTAATAGGCCGTTTGTGACCATGAACGAAGATTCATCCATTGTGTTACTGGGCACGTAGGTTCTGTCCATGACCAACGTGTATTTCGTTTGTCCGAAGTTCATAATTATTTACAAGATCCAAGAAAGTTTCCTAATGATAGTCATTTAGTAGGCGATGCCGCTTACTCTCTTCATGAAAATTTAATGACACCATATCGGGATAATGGGCACCTAACACATAAACAAAAAAATTACAATTTTTGTCATTCATCCTCTCGAATGGTTATTGAACGTACATTTGGCTTACTAAAAGGAAGATTTAGAAGCTTATTGACAGTACTCGATATGGAACGTGTCGATTTAATTCCCGAGTTTATTATTGCTTGTTGTGTTTTGCACAACATCTGTTTATTACACAATGACAGTTTTCCAATAGATACAGATTTGGTACAAGACAATGACGATATATTAAGAAATAATGCTCCAACCAGAGGAAATAATGCAGGTTATACAAAACGTGATGTAATTTGTGATAACTTGCCTATGCGAAATGTATAAAAATACATAACATTAAAAAACATTACGACATATTTCGTTTTATATATTTTATTCTTATATAAATTATGTTGTACATATCACATCATTTATCCCCCTTTTTTTGCGTAACGATACAAAAAATATATTTTTTTTTTTTATTATTACTTACTACTGATATGTATACCAAGTATCACATGTGTTCAGTTCTAATAATATCATTAGTAGTATTATAATAATAAACAAAACTTAAAACTATTTATTAAATCAAGTATCACATGTGTTCAGTTCTAATAATATCATTAGTAGTATTATAATAATGAACAAAACTTAAAACTATTTATTAAATCAAGTATCACATGTGTTCAGTTCTAATAATATTAGTAGTATTATAATAATAAACAAAACTTAAAACTATTTATTAAATCAAGTATCACATGTGTTGAATTCTAATATCATTAGTAGTATTATAATAATAAACAAAACGTAAAACCATGTATTAAATTTTTCTCAAAAGAAACAAAATAAACTTGAAGGAACTTAAAAACTTATTATAAGTTATTACTTTAAACAAATTGTGCAAAAATAAATGATATTTGTAATAAATTATTTTTTACTCAAAATATCTATCATTTTTTCAAATGAGTCAAGAAGTCTCTCACGTATCTGCATGTTTTCTTTATGTCTTCTTTCAATTGCTTCTTCGGTTAGCTTTCTATCTTCTTTTAAGTCTTCTATTAATTTGTCCGTATTAGATGTTTGTCGAAATTTTTCTAAACAAAATAAAATATTATTGCCACTTGCATAAGATAAATACACGACTTGTTTGAATATGTAATCATCTTACTAGGCTTTTCGTTTGTATGGCTTTCGTTCGGCGAACAGTTATCGTCACTGGACGTACATTCAGATTGCGACAGTGTCCTTTTTCCAGTTGATGATACAATGCTTACAGGGGACATAAATGGCTT